AATAATCATATCCAGGGACCTATGGTGGGTTTCAAAAATTTTTGGAACCTCTTGTGTAGGTGTGGCCTGCTTTCCGGGTCCACTGGTGGAACCTCTTCTAACCGGTTCGGTAGATTTGTTGAACCGGTTCTACCGAATAGGTGCGAACTGGTAGGAACCCACCTCTGCTGGAATCCCAAAACGCCCATTAGTGGGTGGTAGGAACCAAGTTGACGACCCATGCTGTACAAGGTAACAGGAATAAGAATAAACATGAATAAGAACACAGGAAATGGGTACAAATAAATGGGGACAATAGGAGAGAGTTGTTAGGCACATTGGTGCACTTATTCATGCCCCATAATTATTGGCCAATGGCAAAATTTGGCTACATTATAGGTACCAACAGCATTTACAATTTGCTAGAAGAAAGGAGAAGAGGTGGAGAAGAAGAGAACAGGAATGGCAAGTGGGGTTTTCCAACTAAAAAAAGCTTCTGTTTTTATTACCCTTCATATCTGCCCTCTTGAAACATTCCCCATGAGCTCAAAGTTAATAGCCCCAAACATGAGCATTGCTCATTCAATTCAGCAACTATTATTTAAAAACCAAAGCAACTGCTTACAAATCACAGTGACAAATTTCTTTGCTACTCCGTGGAAAGCCTTGACATTTTAAATTATTCCTGACTTTGAAAGCAAGCAATATATTGTTCTAAAACTACAATCCTTTATATAAATTTCAGACTTATCTTACTGACACACAGAATCTCATAAAACTGGCTGTTTACGATAATTATATTCTATTGGTATCTACATGTTTTGACATTTTTGCCGTTGTCTACTTCCAGAAATTTTATCCACCATTCTAACTGCTTTTTGTAATTCTCTATAACGTATTTGAATGTAGTTATATATTGAACTTATTGATAAGGTACGGCCACATATCCTATTTGCAATAATCGAAGGTGGTTCACAACAAACTATGAAAGCAGCACATTTTAGAGTGACGTGAAAATGTAAATGGTGCTGCTGGCTGCAAATCTCTCTCTCCCATCCAGGGGTGGATTCTGGCTGCCGCTATTGCTGGTTCGCTCATGGTGGTTCACTACTGCTGGTTTGCTGCGCACCCATGCACACAAATTGCTCTGCGCATGCGCAGAAGGCAAAAACAAGATAGCAATAGCAATAGCAGTTAGACTTATATACCNTGTGTGGCTTTCTTGCAGACATTTCACGACCCAACTAGGTAACGCCATCAGTGCTGAGACGTGACGCCTGCTTCTGAATCCCCGGGACGGCTTTCGTGATGAAGACGATGCCGAATGGTTCGGCATCGTTCCAAGAGGCAGGAAAAGAAGAATGGGCTTAAAAGGGCAAGGAGGTCGATTTGTATGGAACACCAGAATCTCTTCCTCAACAGAGGTTCAAAAAGGGGACAGTCAGATAGACTGCTGCTTCCTGGAAGTGTTTGAACCGAGCACGGACTCCGTACAATGAGCAGGGAGACCCCAAATCCTCGACAAATTCCACCTTTCGGATCGTGGAGCCTGAAAACAGCTGGTTTAATTAATCTTTTTTTTTTTTTACAAAAATGGCAAATTCTGCGGCTTTCTTTGTTGTCCGTTCCACCCCCCCCCCCCGGCCGTAGGGAGGCCTACTTTTAAGTTCCTAATCCCGCAAAGGAGAGGGCACCTACTTGAATTCCTTCTCCGTCTTGCCCCGCAGGTCCCGAACCAGCCACTGGGAAGTGAAGGCGTCCTGGGGAGGCATGCCCCAGCGCATGACGGCGTTCAGGAAGGCCTTGCGCTGACGGGTGTTGAATCCCAGCACCTGCAGGAAGAGGCAGCGGTACGCAGGCCGAGAGGTCAGCCCTGCCAAGGTCACCAGCGGTGTCTCAACACAGCGCAGGGCATCTTCGGATTACGACCGGTTGTTTTGGCAACAGATGTGACGCGCCGACGGAGCTACCTGGGGTCTCTTACAACCGAGAGTCCAAGTTCTGATAGTCTCTCTGTTTCTCTTCTCTCTCTTCTCCCCCTCTCCTCTCTCCTCCCTTCTCTCTCTCCTCTCTTTTCTCTGCTGTCTCTTCTCTCTCTCTTCTCTCCTCCCCTTTTCTCTCCTCCTCCCCATCTCTCTTTCTCTCTTCTTTCCCATTTTGTCTCTCTTCTCCCCTTTTCCTTTCCCTCCCGTCTCTCTCCTCTCCCTTCTCTTGTCTTCTCTCTGTCTCTTCTCTCTCTCCTCTTTTCTCTCTCTTCTCTCCGTTTCCCCATCTCTCTTTCTCTCTTCTCTCCTCTTTTGTCTCTCCTCTCCCTCCCTTCTCTCTCCTCTCCTTTTCTCTTCTCNAGATGGGTGGAAATGCCAGCGTGGCAGAGGAAGATTGGACCATGGGATGGACTTGTGGGTGTGGGGGCAAGATTTTGAACTTTCAGCTGGGTGGAAACCCAGGAAGCTTTCAGATTCGGGTTTTCCACCGTTTGTACCAACATGTCTCCCTTATTAAACTAGAACATTGATGGAAGCTATGCCTTGAACTCTGATTTAATTCTGGATGATACTTAGAACGCTGACATCCTCTTTCTCAGCCCAACCTACCGAACAAGGTTGTTGTTGTTGTGGGCAAAGGAGGAAAAAGACATGTTGGATTATGTTTACCGGCTTGAATTATTTGTAAACAAAATAATAAAGTGGGAAGAAGTCAATAAAGAATAGGATTATTCCGCATACGCCCTCAATCCTCGACAAACCAAAACACACAAGAATAAAGAAAACCAGATTCTTTAAATTTTCTTCACCCGGTCTGGAAATCTCCAGAGAGACACTGGCGAAGCCAAGCCCCCCCCCCCCCTCTCAGCGCACAAAGAGGGAGGGTCACGAGGATTTGGGCAAGGGGCTTCAACTGACGAGAGGGAAGAGTAGGAGATAATATTTAGTGGTGTTCCCAAGAGCCCTCCCACGGCTACTGACAGGGAGAGACACTTGTATGTAAACAGAGAGCAGAGCCCACTCCTTCGGGGCACTGATAATGTCACTTAGTAGAGTCACGAGACGTCTGCCAGGAAGCAGCCAAGGTCAGAGGGCAGCAAGGACCCCGCCGTCCTCTTCCTCCTCCTCTCTTCTAGCACTGATGATTCGATCCCAGGTCGAGGCAGATGTTTCTCTCTCTGGGCACACTGAGAATGTATCTGCCGAAGGGAACTCTGCCTTGGCGACAAGGAAGGGCATCCGGCCATTAAAAGAATACTCTGCTAGCTCCATTCGGTTGCCCAGACTCTACCCCCACAAGGGATTCTGGGGTCTTTAAAAGAGGAGGAGGATGATTGATGATGTTACTTAGTTGGGTCGTGAAACATCTACAAGAACCCCCCCCCCCCCAAGTAAGGATCCCCCAGGGAGGGAAGAGGCAAAAAGAAGAAAGGTGTTATGGCCCACCAGCAGAGCCAGCAGCCGATTCAGAGAGTGAGGAGGTTGGGGAGGAATCTGGGACAGTCCTGGAGTCTGGGGGAGGCTCTGATGAGGGCTCTGTGTCGGAGGCAGAGAGGGGGCCAAGGCCATCTGACAGTTATCANAGAACCGCTGAACTGCAGATAACAGTCAGCTGAAGTGGCCTGCAGTACTGCACCCTGACCACTGCGCCACCTCGGCTCGGATAGCAGTACCTATGGCAATGCCAAGAGAACCAGTTTGGGGGCGTGGTAGGTCTGGGTCACTGCCGGTTCCAGCGACCCAGGCTGCCAAGTTATTACCAGTTTGGCTGAACTGGTCCGAACCGGTAGGAACCCACCTCTACTCCCAACCCTTTTCATAACAGGTTTATTATTATTATTTTTACTAATGTACAAGTGACCGTATTAATTGGAATTAGATTTGCGTGCCATTTCTATTTAAGTTCAGTTAGCTCCATATCCTTTCAGTATGAAGGTACTACATTATTGGTAGTATCAATATTTTATCTTGAACTGAGATTCTCAGTGATATACTTCAGTGTCCGTTTCCTGTTTCATTCTACGTCCGTATCTATACAGGTACTGGTGACATGGACTTGAAGAAGATTGATGGGGTTTTAAACAGGAAGGTTTTTTTTTAGTCCTATCTAGTCTGGTTGTGGTTTCAACACAGACTTTTTGTGTCCATGTTTGGGCTCACCCTCAGCAAGAGAGAGTATAAAAAGAAGAAATCGTTTCAGAATATGCCACGGATGTGGAAAATATAGTGATCCTGGAATGAACCATAAGATTGCATAAAACAATAAGGTCTTATTATAGTCCTTGTTCTTTGGGTGCTGATGAGAGCTGTAAAAACTGTAAACTCAACTGCCAGCCATCTGCAAAGCTGCCGAAGCCTGCAGATTGGACTTCGCTATCATGTTTTTCTGTATTACACAAGATAATAAAGCCATAAAGAGCCAAAGCAGCTGCTGGATTCTCTGTTCTCCAGGTGTTGTTTAGAGATAGGTAGGCATACACACAGTTCGGAATACTTTGTGTTTTAAGGTCAGTGCGAGTGCAGGCAGTTAAAAGCGGGCTGAGTATTGATGAATATGAAAAAAGTGTGAGCGTGTGCATCCACATTTGTGTCGTAGAGACACAGTTTCTTATCAATTCGATGAAGCCATAGGTCACCATGTAAGATTAGAGGATTTAGGGAAGTACTAATTTAAAAATGGGAAGTTTTTGATATGTGGAAAACAATACACCAATGTCTTTTTTTTTTTTTTAGCATACTGGAAGAAAGATACCAAAGGGCCAGCTATATTAGCCTTTTCACAGTAAGAACCAGGATAAAAGTCTATGTAGGTTCTCAGCCATCCATTTGAAGTAGGAATGATTTCCAGAGGAAGAATTGTAGACTACAAAAATCAGGAGCAATACTCAAGTGACCCCGAGGACAGATAAACCTCCAAGGGGCCTCAAGGACTCTTTAAAAGAATGCAAATGACCAGCTGTCTGCAAGGGATATAAATCTTTCTATTCCTCACTATCCTGTCAGAACTGAAGAAACTTCTTGGACGAGAAGTGAAATAACTTCAAAATAAAAAACAAGAAAGTCCAGTTGCCTCCTGAAAAAGCACCTTTGGAACAACCAGGATANATGCCTTTTAAAGAACAAGTTTACATCATATCCTTATGCATGCCAATGCTGTGTGTGAGGTAATTTAAGGTGGTTCTGACAAGTGTCGTTGGCATCTTCATATCCGGTCACATGGGTGGCAAGCCACTCCTATCCGGTCACATGGACGGCAAGCCACTCCCACAAAGGAGGCCACACCCACAGAGTAGGTTCGAACAATTTTTGAAACCCACCACTGATTAAAGTAAATATTTAATGAAGGGGAGTGGTGTTTTTTTTTTTGAATGATGGATTTGTAAAGGCAAAAATTGCTTCATGTTTAAAATACCGATAACTCTTTGACTTGACTTTACTATTGCATTGTATTTTAAAAGAAGGCATGTCTTTTTGAACTTGGTTTAGCAAATGAGTCATCTAATAAGGTAGATGGACATTTGCTTTTTAAGGCAAAAACCTGCTGATATTCTTGGCTATTCTGTTCTGTAACATTTTATGGGACAGTCGAAGCTTACACCCAAGCAAGGTTTCCGAAGAAAAATGGCCAATTGATGAAGTAAGATAGCAGCCAGAGGCAGAGATTAAGAGAAGGTGAACCTCAGCAGGGAAGAAAGACCCATTTTCTTATTATGACTTACTGCATTGTCAGTGATGGAGAGGATTCTGTTCCAGTTAAATCCCTAGATCCATCACAGGCCTCTCTTAGTTCTGAGTAGGAATGAAGAATGGGGCCTTTAAAAATTTTATTTCCCATAAAGTAGACATTGTCTGTGTTACATATCAAGTTCTTATCAAATTCTACATTAATTTAGCCTCTCTATGCATCTAATTAATGAGCTACAGCTTATGAAAGTTAATGAGTCTTAATAAAAATGTCTTATTCAGAAGAAAAAGTGCTTCTGATTCACATTTTCCTTAGGAACTAATATTGAAATTAAATCAAATTTTGCTCAGGTGAAACTGTAAAATCAATACCATGCAATCATTTTTCTATTAGTTATCCATTGATCTCCCTATCAAAATTTGGAAGCATCAGTCCAGTGAAAATTTAAGTGTTTATTGGTGTTCATACAGATATGCCCTGTATGATGCCCAAGGTAAATTACTTTACTGTTATGGGGAAGGTAAACTTTATTTGATCAGTTTGCACACCCATGTATGTATAAAGTTCAACACACATCATACAAATAACAATTAAAAGAAGTTAAAAAAAATTAAAAAGGAAAGGAAAGGAAAGAGTGGGAAAGGATAAAAATTTGAAGGCATCAAAGAAATGCAATTTTATTTATTTATTTTATTTATTTATTTTGTCACTGTACAACAGTGGTGGTCACCTTTTTTCTACCTACCACCCACTAATGGATCTTTCTTGATGGAAAAATTTCCTTACCTTTTTAATTTTTTTTAACTTCTTTTAATTGTTATTTGTATGATGTGTGTTGACCTTTATACATACATGGGTGTACAAACTGATCAAATAAAGTTTACCTTTCCCATAACAGTAAAGTATTTACCTTGGTCATCATACGGGGCATATCTGTATGAACACCAATAAACACTTAAATTTTCACTGGACTGATGCTTCCAAATTTTGATAGGGAGATCAATGGATAACTAATAGAAAAATGATTGCATGGTATTGATTTTACAGTTTCACCTGAGCAAAATTTGATTTA